GAGGAGGCAGGTGCTGGGGAGGCCCCGCTCGCTGCCCACTCCCCCTGCCCGCTCCAGGGTCCCACGCAGGGGGCCACCCTCACCCGGGCTCCTGTGCCCTGGGTAAACCTCCTCAGGCCTGGTGACAAAGTGGTGGTCACCGAGGGCCTACTGTGTGCCTGGTCTGGATTCACCCAGAAGGCAGGTGCCATGGTTCTTGTCCTGCAGATGCGGAAGCCGTGGCCCAGAGTGGTTAGGGAGAGCCACGCGGCTGCCTGGGGCAGAGCAGGGCTGGGGGGTCCAGCTGTGTGATTCGGGGCTACAGCTTCCTGCTCCCGCTGGGCTGAGAATGCAGCCACGCATCCTTGCTCTCTGGGCCTCAGTTTCCCCCCGGTGGCCTGAGGAGCTAAGCCACGTGTCTCTCAGCCAGGGCCCACTTTCCGGGTCTCCGTTGGGTCCGTGTGGCACTGGGTGCTGCCCTGGACATGTGGCCGAGGTCCGCCTGTGCAGGTGCCTCCCGCCCAGGGCTGCTCAGGTGGTAGGGTTGGCTGTCCTGGGCCCCACGATCACGCCCTCCCTGATGACAGTGGGGACGGTGACACTGAGTGGCTGCCGCAGGAGGGTCTAGGGGCCTGGGTGGGACGGGCCGGGCTGAGTTGGCCTTCCGGCGCCGGCGGGCTCCTCACCACCTGCCCTCGGCTCGTGGCTCCTGAGCCGCCCCACCTGCTGTCAAGTTTTCCAGAGGAGCCAGGCTAGCATAAACGCCAGCTCGAGGCTCCTGCTAGGCGCCTGGGCCCAGCTGGCGGGATGTGAAGGGTTGGCGTCTCCTGCCCTTGAATCTCACCACGTGGATGGAACTTCCCTCCCTCGAGCCTGTCCTGTGGGGCTTGTGGGGCATGTCCTGCACGGAGCAGGCTCCAAATACCCACCTGTCCTCTCAGGAAGGGTGAGGCTTGTTCTCGGGGAGCCGGCAGCCCCCGGGGACTCTGAGCAGCCGTGCAGGCCCGGCAGGAAGCAGCTGAGCATGGTGGAGAGGTGTTGGCTACAGGACTGGTTCCAGTTAAGGGAACCAGAGGGCTAGGGAGCACCAGGGCCAGCACAGCGGGCCCATACCCCAGGCCTGGGGAGCAGGAGGCCTTAGGAGGAAGTGGCTGCTGACAGATGCGGCTGGGCAGGGAGGGCGCTGGAGACGTGGATGCTCTCCTCTCTCCTGCTCATGTCGTGCCCCGCATGTGTCAAACCCACTGGAAACCAGAGGGTGGGGGCGCTGGCGAGGCTGCCTCAGAGAGCAAGAGGGCCAGTGAGGCTGCCCTGGAGGGCAACGGGGCTGGATGAGGCTGCCCTGGAGGGTGAGGGGGCCTGTGAGGTCATCTCAGAGAGCAGGGTGCTGGATGAGGCCACCTCGGAGGGCAAGGGGGCCGGTGAGGCTGCCCTGGAGGGCAAGGGGGCACATGAGGCTGCCCCAGAGGTGAGGGAGCCTGTGAGGTCATTTCAGAGGGCCAGGGGGCTGGATGAGGCTGCCCTGGAGGGTGAGGGGACTGGCGAGGAGGTGAAGGGCTCGTGGGTGAAGGGGCTGGCAAGGAGGGTGAAGAGGCCTCCCCGGAGATCAGGCCCCAGAGCCCAGGGCAGGGCTGGGGTTTCTGCTGGGTGGACCGTGGACGATGCTTGGTTTGTGTCCTGTCACCGACAGAGAGGTCCTGGTGGGAAGGGATGACTCTGGCCCAGAGAGATTATTGTGCATGGGAAGCCCCGTCGAGGCTGCACAGATGTCCTCCAGAAGGCTCTGTCCTAGGACTTGGCACCAGGAGGGGGGGGGAGTGTGCATCATGTATCACCTCCTGGGCAGGCTGACAGAGAGCTTGCAGCAGGAGGACAGGTCAGGGTCCTGTGTGCCCCCCTATTGTTAGCAAGTTCTGGTGGCTGTGGAAGCAGGGGCTTTCCGGGGAGCAAGCCGAGAGCCCTCACCAAGGGGGGTGCAAACTTTGTGGATTCAGGGC